TTGTTCATTTTTCTTTAATGCAGTATTGTACACGGGCATTTTTGTATAATGAAAAGTTTGTCAAGTACAGGTAAACGACGAAGTGGATTCACGCACTGACAAAATGGGACTGTATTGTATTAAATTTTCACCCCTAGGCCATACTTGAGTATGGCATGAGAGCTGGTTTTTCTGGTGTATTTAAACTCTCAAGGTCATGTGCAAAAAACAATATTGACACCAGCACATGTGGTTATATTGTAGTGGCTCCTCTCCCCTACAACTCCCAACTGAGCTCCGGCCGCGCGCCTACCAGCCAATCAGCGTACAGCCAGCTACGCCGAGAGACAAGGTCTATGCAGAGGACGTAGGGGTACGATCGCCGACCTAGTCTCGACCTTCAACCTCCGGTTCAGGATCAGAGCGTTTCACACCTTACGCTTAAGCCGCTGTGATTGGCCCTCTCGCTACGCTCACCCCAAATCCTGATCCTCGTAAATATGAACCTGATCCAGTTGGAATCGAACTTGGACATCTCCATCGAGGACCACCAGAAGTCCCCGATGAAACAGTGGTGGAAAACATCAGCACCCTGAACATCCTAACATGGAATGCTCAGGGCATCAAAAACAAGAAACACCTCCTACAAGAAGCAGAAGCCAAGAACAAGCTTGACATCATACTGCTACAAGAAACACTTCTACAAGAACACCACTGTTTCAAATTCAGTGGTTACAAGACATACAGGAGGCATTTCACGCAGGCGTCAACAAGAGGATGTATGGTCTTGGTCAAGTCAAGCATACCCTCCGCCGATGTCACGCAGCAATTTCCATGTGGGGAAAACATCGAGACACAGGCCGTCAAAGTAACCCTCCAAGAACGGGAATTAACTGCTCACAACATCTACAAGAACCCAAGGGGCTCACTGGAGGTGACTCAATTATTTGCTTCGGCCGCTGACCACGCCACGCTCATAGGAGGGGATTTCAACGCACATCATCCCTTCCTAAGCTCGGTAAGCCCCACAAATGAAGACGGCCTACACCTATACACCACCTTTCAAGATACACCCGAGATCTGCCTCCTGAACACCGGAGAGCCCACCCACACTAGGGGAGGAAGGCTAGATCTAACCTTCGTCTCCAGTACACTACAGCCTTCGGCCTCCTGGCAGATACACCCCACGCTGACCAGCGACCACTTCGCCACCCTAACAACGCTGAAGGTGAACAAACTCCCCACTCCACCCCCCCGAGATGGAGATACAATACCCAAAAGGCAGACTGGGGACTCTTTAAGAAACACCTGGCTAAGTGGCGCGAAAAATCACAGCCGGCCGGCGCAGCACCCGTGGACGAGACAACCCTCCACCAACAATTGGTCGAGGCGTTTCACCAAGCGGCAGAAGAGGCTATCCCAAAAACAAAACCCACATCAAGACAGTACAATGATTACTGGTACTACTGTCTCAGGGTGAAAGAACTCAACCACAGAGTGAACATGGCCCAAAGAAACTACAGGAAACATCCCACGGAAACAAACAGACATCTCCTGCAAGTTATAGTCAAGGATACCAGGGAAGAGAAGGAAGAAATAAAAAACGTAAGCTGGCTCAAGTGGTGCTCCGAACTGAACGAGCACACCTCCCTTGGCAAGATGTGGGCCCAGATCCGAAGGGCATCTGGGAAGGCAACACCACCACCACCAACCCATCCCAACCCAGAAGGGGAAGCCGAGAGACTTGCAAAACTGTTCTCTGACCGAGCAGCAACGAAAAACCTCCCGAGACAGGCGGAGGAGACACAACGGCGTCTGCGACAGGTCAGACTCCAGATGATCGAAGAGGCCTGCAACAGTGAAGATGACACTGACAGACCTTTCAACCAGCAAGAACTCCAAAAGTCGCTAAAACGAAGCAAGGACACAGCACCAGGGGCCGACAGGATAACCTACTCCATGCTTTCTCATGCCGGTAAAGCCGGACACGAGGCTTTGCTACAAGTCATCAATGCTTCGTGGACAGCACAAAGACTCCCACCGGAATGGAAGAAGGCAGATATACAGCCCATTCCGAAGCCCAGAGAACCAGACAAACCGAGGCCCATCTCCCTTCTCAGCTGCGTAGCGAAGACAGGAGAAAGAATGGCTCTCAACCGACTCAAGTGGAAAGTAGGCAGCCCACACCCTCACATTTTTGCTTACATCGAGAACACCGGCACAGGCAACAACATCGCCGAGATACTCAGCACAGTGGACTACAAACCAGCTCTGGTGGTCTTCCTCGACCTGGAGAAGGCCTTCGAACTAGCAAATCCACTGGCCATTACAACGACGCTCGCTAAAAAAGGCGTCAAAGGAAGGTTGCTGGGGTGGATCCAGAACTACCTCACACAGAGAGAAGCAAGAGTACGCTTTCAGGGAGCAACCTCAAGCTACAGGGCCCATGAAAACGGAACCCCACAAGGAGGCATCCTGAGTCCAATGCTGTTCAATGTCCTGATGGAAAATCTTGTCAAACTTCCTTTCAGACAAACAGCCAAGCTCCTATGCTATGCAGACGACTTACAGCTTATAGTAAGAAGATCAAACAGACTAGCCAACACGCAACACGCACTCCAACTTATAGAAGAGGAGTGCAACAGACTTGGACTCAAGATAAATCCAGCCAAGTCGAAAGCGATGGCCATCTGCACAGACACACCAGACAAGATGCTCTCCATACAAAACACGCCGGTAGTCTGGACCAACACCCACCAGTGTCTTGGAATCTGGTTTGACCAGAAACTCACTTTCAAGCCGCAACTCGAGTATCTCAGGTACAGGACGAAGAGCAGACACAATATAATGAGGTCGCTCACCAGCACAACCGCAGGAGCAAACCTTCATGTGCTCAAAGCTTACTACACGGCCGCCATCAGATCGCTGGTAGATTACAGTGCTCCAGCACTCATTGGACTGAGAGAAGACCAAATAGCCAAGCTAGAAGTCATCCAAAATAATGCTCTCAGGACCATGCTCGGAGCACCCATGTGGACCAGAATTTGCAATTTGCAAATGGAAACCGAACTACCACCCCTGGCAGTACGAGTCAAGCAGGTGACAGCCGGTCTCCTCGCCAAAATCTGTAGATCAGATAAGCCCACAGTTGCCAAAATTCGAATCAGTGCCTCCCTCCACCTCGACCACAGAGTGCGAGGGGCCACCTGGTCGCACGAGGCAAGCGAGGTCATCCGACACCTGCAAGCAGAAACACTCGTCAAGAACAACCAAGACATACGAGACAATGGTTACGTAGTTCCTCCACCATGGAGCCCTCCACCAGCCACATTCAAAATTACCGACCTAGGCGATAGTAAAGCCAACCTCCAGAAGGAGGACCTCAAAAAAATAACTCTGGAAGCCATAGCCACCGAGACACCGGCTGATGCAGCATCATACTTCACAGACGGCTCGGTGGATCCAAAACATCATACATCCGGAGCGGCCTTCTACACCCAAGGTCAGACCCTCCAATGGAGACTTTCTAATGACTGCTCCACCCTACAAACAGAGCTGTTAGCAATCTCAAAGGTCCTACAACACGCTGCAACACAACACAACAAGTCCATCATAATTCACACGGACTCGAAATCGGCCATGCAGGCGCTGCAACACAGTCAACCAAGAGACAATGTCCACATCATTACCTCGATCCTCGCACAGCTACAGGAATTCCAAAGACAAAATCGCCCTGTCGTCTTACACTGGATTCCCAGTCATGTAGGGATCGGAGGAAACGACGTGGCAGACGAAGCAGCCAAGGTAGCTACACGTTCTAGTAGCGTACACATCCAAGTTCCAGCAAGTGTGCAACAGATCAAGAATCACCTCAGAAAGACTAGCAAGCTCCACATCAAAAAGAGCTTCCTTAACGCATTCAACGCTGGTTCCCAATCAGCCAAATGGTACCTGGCGGCCACAAAAGGGGAACCACCTTTCGCGGACAAGAAAACTCCAAGACAAACCCAAGTGAGCCTTCATCGACTACGACTAGGGTACAAGTGCTCCTGGCAGATGATCGGAAATGACGTCATGGAATGCACCTACTGTCAGGAGCCAGCAGCCAACCCACTTGAACACTATCTCCTCGACTCCGAAGTCACACAAAGCCTCCGAAACAAAACTCAAATCTCCCAAGAAGCACACACAACACCAGCGGCCACTCTAACCCGAAAGGCCCAAACAAACCACATTCACCACCTTCTCCGGGTCATCACACAATGCCCACCACCCAGGAGCTCCAGCCGGAACCACCAAACGGGCCGCCTATAGACCAGGGAGACCATTCTACACTCGGCTACTGGACCAGCAACATCTCTCACAGCTCCTCACCACTCAGCTACCTTAGAAACCTCCTCGCCCTACAGGACCTCTGAACAAGTTTCTCCTCACCTAGTCACTGCTAAGCACTGCACTGTACAACAATATATATACAGAAAGCCCATTGTTAGTTTCTATCCTACCTCATTCCTGAGTGTGAGATATCTACATGTACATACGTTTGTGTGCCTATACTAAGAGAATTAACAACTGGCCACATACAGTACGCTACAATATCATTTAATTTCCACATAACACATATTAACATAAATTTACTTTTTTATCTTTTGGAAAACAATAGAATTTCAAATGGTTGTAACATCTCATCTCTCCCTCTCAATGATGGTTACATTATCTTGGGAACTATTTTTTTTTCCACATTTAACAGATTCAACATTCCACAACCTTCTTCCACTAATGTAAACGAACAATCAGACCATCACCATCTATACAATTAACACAACATACAGTACTTCCAACCATCTACACCAATATGTTAAAGTAATAATTCCTTTCATTATTTTCCTCAGTACACCCACACACACCTGGTAATTCAACAACCAGTGATCCGTTTAGAATATGGGAGTAAAATATATCCTATATAATAAATACCAATAAATTTAATATAATTTATACTATAATGGACTTTAAGTAACATTCAGTAACATATAAACTCTATTTAATCAGGAGTAATAACAAGGGTATCTGTTCACGCCATTGTGGGATTGTCTGGGGGAGGAATTTGTGCTTGGGGTTGAGTTGTTTTCTTTATTGGCTGAATTAGACGTGTAAGTTATTTACTACTGTTTGTTATTTATCAGAATATTGGTATGTTATCAACGAACTTTAAACCTAAGAGATTCATTAAGTTTAAAGTCGAGTAATAACTTGTGGTTGGGTTAATAATGGTGGAGGCCGGGTTTGCTTAGTTTTGTGTAGGTTGTTTCATGAAGTACAATTATGTATTGATTTATGTTAATTATTTCCATTTGTTACCAGGTCAGTTTTTGTTATTTAGGCTATATTTTGATATGTATTTTGGATTTAATAGTGATCTCCAGGTCCAGAATATGTGGAAAGCCATCTTAGGTTTTGACAATTTGGTAGATGCATTAAATGACACTCTACATAGGTAATGTTTTAAGCTAATATATGCCCTGTGACCATCAGTGGAGTGTGTATATGCTGATTACTTTCACTTCTATTCAATTTCTTGTGTAAATGCTTAGTTTATATATATAGGAGAGTTAAGATATAGGTTAGGTTAGGCTAGTACATGATTTCAGCCATTATATTATTTTCCAAACATAATAGTGTCCCCTAATAAAATAATAGAAAACAGAGTAATTTATACCCATTTTAATGAATAATCGGCTGATGGTCATTATCTGAATAATTACTTCTTTTTTTTCAAGAAGTTTTTGTTAATACTTATACTGTAACTCCAGAAGGCAGTTGCCACTTAACTTTTGTTATGATGTAGGAGAAGGTCAGCACCAGAAGGACTTTATGGAACTTTATCTACTTTTTAGGTGTTTTTTGTATGATATTAAGCAAGAAAATTGAAACACTAATACACAGTACTTATTAAAACCTGACCTACTATTACCTAAGCTACCCAACCTTGTCTAACCCACCTAACCTTACCTATCTAACCTTAAAAGCTTCGGCAGCACCAACATCGGCACTAGCTGCCTCTCCACTCACCTTAACATTGTGTAGACTGTAGCGTTTTTTAAATCTATCAAACCACCCATGACTTCCTGCTCACTCACCTTAACATCGATGACTGCTTGCTTTTATGTGTTACACGCCTGTATCTGGTCTTCTATCCCAATAATTTTTCCATAGAATAGGAGATATTATAGTTCCTTTATAGTAATTGCCTGTCTCCTTTTGTGTGGAGCACCACCCCTCTCACTTTTACGCTTTCCAGTCATTATAAAGTCAATTAAATACGATAATAACGAAAGTTCACAGCGCGATCATTATAGGATACGATAGCCAAACACAAACTAAGCGCTCCACTGAGTGAGTGTACCCACGAGGCGACCCGAGACGGAAATGTTTCGGTATAGAAAATGCGCGCGTCATTTGAAAATATTTTTGGTCACGACTGCCGCGGTCGTATGTCCCGATGGACGTACGGTCAGAGCAGGTCGTAAGTACCAATGGACTAAGTCCATTGGTCGTAAGTCGGGGACTACCTGTATACTGTATAAAAATTTCCGACAAACGCTGTAGAGTATAATATTTTCTCTGTCTCTATACTGTACAGGCAGTCTCCGTGTTAGGAGCGTCCAACTTACGAACATGCGCTGAAACGAACAAGGCTACACTTAAAATTTATGGTACTGTATTTTATTTACTCACTGACTTATTGGTGTTGTTTTTAGCATTTTAACCCCACATTTTCCTGTACCTTCAAAGCCCTGTCCGCTTTGTGAAAAGTATTGTCATATCTCCACAAATATGCATCAGTGCCAAAAATAAAGGTCATATTTTTTAAATCGCCATCAAAAACATGAATAAATCCATTTTTTTTTAGTACTAATTTTTGTTTTGTACTATAAAGAATCTTTACCACACTTCATAATAGTCTGAAGTGACAACTCGTGAGAAGCAGCAACTGTAATTAACTTACCTGACATAAGTGACCAAAAGTTTCCCAGCACCTTTTACATACATAACCTAACCTAACCTAACCTAAGGTGACCAAGCACTTACCAATGCCCTTTCCTTACATTACCTACCTTTTTTAACAATGTAAATTAACCTACCAAACCTAACCTAGGTACGTTTGGGTGGTTCATCTTACTGGTCTCTTATGGTACGACATCCTATGCTGTAGTAATGTAAACAGGTTAACGTGGTGGTGCGGGGATTTTTTGTCTCGATGTAGATTTGTGTTTAGGACAAAAACAGTTGCCAGAAAAAGAGACAAAACTTTTAATTCTTTTATAGAAATTTTTCCTAAAGTTGTTCCACCTCATAAATCAGTGTTCTAGACTGTTACCAATAAAGGCTCTTAAATCATGTTACTGTGTATTTTTATATAATTAAATATATGTATGCAGAGAATTAAACTAACAATTTAAATCATTTACCTGCATTAATATTTGTTCAGCTGTGGAGGAATGTCTAGGTGAGCACGTGGAGCCGAGCTATTGGGGACAAACAGCTGGGGGTGGCGGGTGGGCAGACTGCCGCTAATGACGACGAACATGTATCTCCTGTAATGCATGAAAGGCAACTGAGGGCCTTGTTGAGGTGTGGGTAGATCAGGGGAAGTCTACTCTAGGACATTTAATGTGCTTTATGAATGATAATATTAGAGTGTAATTTAAAACAAAATGGCACAAAACTTTATTCTCATATTCGTCATGTCTCAGTTGAAGGGCGAGATATATATATTTTTTATGGGGTCTTCATTAATAGGTTTGTAAATTGGGAAAAGAAAAATATTAGTAAAAGGCATTTGTGTAACATACTGCTGGCAATTTGAATGTGATCAGACATGGATTCTCAACAAATATGGTACAAGGGATTTAATTTGCATAATGATAAGTTATACATACACCTAAGATTAATATATTTATTGCCTGTATATAGTTCAGGACATTCTTATAGATATTATATACATATAATTTGACCCAATAATATGTTAATTTTAATATTGAAATCAGAACCATCCTTTTGTTTACTGTGTTACAAACATAGGAGTTTGGTGCGGTCTCTCTTGAATACTGTAACTCCCCAATCCAGACCTTCACACATCATATCAACAATTATTGTCACCCAAATGTACTGTACCAGTATTGTATGTGCATGTGTGTGTGTAAACATACACACTAAACACATACAAATATATAATAATGGGAAAATTCTCTCACAAATACAGTAATGTGTCTGTTAGCCGGAACCCCTCAAACCCAGAACTATCCGATATCCAGAATTGAAATTTTAAATTCCGGCTTTGGGAATGATTTTCCAAGGGGCACATTTTCCAGAAAATTCTGAGAAAATTCTGGGGATGGGGAAGTTCTTTTCTGGGTTTGAGAGATGAAAATGAGGTGCATTTTCTAGAAATTCCGAGAAAATTTTCCATTATCCGGAAGATTACGGGGACGAGGGATATTTTTCTGGGTTTTAGAGATGGTGTAATGGGCAATTTCTGGAACTTCCGAGAACATTTTTCCGTTACCTGGAAAATTCCGGGGATGGGGGATTTTTTCCGGCTTTGACAGAGTCGTCTCGTTACCCGGAAATCTCTCATTCCCGGAAGTGCTCTGCACCAACTGTTCCGGCTAACGGGGATATCGCTGTAATCAGAAACAAATGTAGCAAAAATGTGTGAGTCTACCCTCAAGTCCCATTATTATTTATTTATATGTGTTTTGTCTGTGTGTGTCTACACACACACACACACCACTGGTTAGCAAATGTTATTCGCGGATTTGGCTATTCGAGGGCATTTTGAGAACTTAACCTAACTGCGAATTTTAGAGGCATGCTGTACGTACATATAAACACTACAAAAATTGGTTATATTCTAAACTTAAAGGTACGACTCAGAACTTGAAGTAAGGGAAAACATAACTGTGATTAAGTATTTGATATTTTAGCTTGTCTTCATTCACCTTTGTTGGTGTATAAATTATTTCTAGATTATGCTTACAGGACACATCTAAGAGGATCATCTGGACATATCTCACAGAATACACACACCACACCATGGAGTCATCTGAATTCCAGGAACAACCTCACACTAGTGAGAAGGCTTATGAATGTCTAGATTGTGGGAAAACTTTTGCTAAGAACAGTGATTTGAAGAGACATACAATGATTCATACTGGTGAACGACCCTTTGTCTGTGAAGTTTGTGGCATGGGCTTTATAGAAAAGGTGAAGCTCACTGTTCACATGAGACATCATACAGGGGAAAGACCATTTGAGTGTAAAGAATGTGATAAAACATTTATTAAGAAAAGTGATTTGAAGAATCATACTAAAACACATTTTGGGGAAAAAAATTTCATATGTAATGAATGTGGAAAAGGGTTCCTTAAAAACAGTGATCTCAAAAGGCATACAAGACTCCACACTGGTGATAGGCCATTTGCATGTATATTTTGTAGTGCATGTTTTACAGAGAGTGGGAAGCTGAAGAAACATTTGATGGTTCATACTGGTGAAAAACCAGTTGCATGTGGAGAGTGCGGGAAGAGGTTTGCCCAAAACTCAGATCTCCGCAGACACACGAGGGTTCACACTGGAGAGAGACCCTATGTATGTGAAGTTTGTAACCAAAACTTTAGCCAAAGTCATATATATAAGGACCACATGAAACATCATGCTATGAGAGTAAATCCTGTTGAGAAATCCAGTCAAGAAAAAGTGGATGACCAAAGTGTAGCTGTGTCTCCAACAATAAGTGCAGTGTTTAATCCAGCAGGTGATATCCATTCAGATCAAACCATGTTCATCATTGGAGAAAATTATACACCACAAAGTAGTAAACATATGGAAGAAGGTGCTGATTCTTCCAAGTTTCTGCAAGTAAATGTTAATGTTAAAGATGAAGTCATTGATATGAATGATGACAATGGAGTGTATCAGAATGTTTAAAATCTGTCTCATGTCATCAATGTACTGTACTGTATCCCATAATCTTGTATGTGTATATGTGTCATTTGTTATGTGTATTGTTGGGATTTCTGACCTACCAGATGGTTGAAGAAAGGTGATAGGCACTGTGATTTGTGTTGTTATATTGTACCAGAGACAGTAGCTCTATTACCTGAGATTTGGCTTCTGATACTTTGTGTGTATCATAAGCAAAATATATATATATATATATATATATATATATATATATATATATATATATATATATATATATATATATATATATATATATATATATATATATATATATATATATATATTACATGATTTTATTTCATTTTTAAAATTTACATTACTTTTGTTATGTACAGTAGCAAAGAAAATTCTCTGAACATTTAGCAATACAGTATCTGGCATCTATTTCTGGGTCATTTATATGATTGATTTATATCTAATAATGCTGCTTTTCATCATATATTATGGTGGAATCACAAGATGGAAAAAACCCACTCTTTAATACAATAAAATCCCCATTTGCCAGAACCCCTGGTCCCTGGAACTCTCCAAGAACTAGAATTAATTTTGAGCCAGAAAATTTCCAATGAAACTCTCAATTCCATGCATGAGAACGATTATCTGAGAGAATCTCTCTGTTCTGGGCATGGGAACAGATTTTCTGGGAGTTCCTAGAGGTTGCATCATGCTCTGAAGCGTCCGCACATTCCCCCTATGTTCCAGGCTGCACGGGTGGAATAACTGCTTGGGTAACTTTGGTTGTAGGTTCGCGCGCATAGTTCATATTCTGCTGCCACTTGCTTCTGTTTTTGCATACAGTTTCTGTTGTGCAGTACTGTACATTTCTGTACCAGGACACAATCGGCCAAGATTATACTAGTGTTAAATCAGCGTTAAGATGTAGAAAGTAATTACAGTTACATATACAGTGCTGTACAGTATCAGAGTAGACAGTGTATGCCTACTGAAACAGCATCATCTGCTGAAGAGCGCAGTATATACCGGTACAGTACAGTAGTATAGTATACTTCCGATTTAATGGAATCCAATATAACGAACTCTTGATTTAGCGGAAGGAATTTTGTCTGATATTTTCACTCAGTTTAGTGAACTACTGTAGTTCACTATATCAAGATTAATTCTGTTAATACGCTCACACCTATAGAGACACCTCAGACACATGATAGGTACATAGAAACATTAGAAACATTATTCATGACTTACCTTAAACTTGGGGGTTTGGTGTTTGTTGTAAATTTTTTCTATAATTCCAAACTTTTTCCAATTGGTAGCCGCACTATTTTGACTTTTCCCCCACACCATTTCTTTTTGAGACTTTTGGTATCATGTCTAATTACAATATTTATAGTTATTTGACAGAGAGGTAGCAGTGAACAATACACGCAGTGGTGGCAGAACACAAACTGAGTGGATGTAAACAAACCTCATGCACCAAGCGGTGCATTTGGCGCGGAGTTTGATGGAATCTCGCTTGGTTTAGCAAACTAGTTCGCAAAATGAGCAAAAATAACAAAGTTCGATTTAGCAGAAATTTTGATTTAACGGAAAGGGTTTGCTTGAATTAGTTCATTAAATCGAGAAAATAATGTATAAATGATATCTCCGTTAGCTGGAACAATAGATGCAGAGCACCTCTGGGAATGAGAGATTTCCGGGTAACGAGACGACTCTCAAAGTTGGGAAAAAAAATTCCCTGATCCCCAGAATTTTTGGGATATTGGAAAAATTTTCTCAGAAGTTCCAGAATTAAGCAATATACATCATCTCTCCAACCAGGAAAAATATCTCCCATCCCCGGAATTTTTCGGGTACTGGAAAATATTTTCTCTGAATTTCCGGAAAATATGCCTGATTTTTATCTCCCAAACTCCCAACAACACTCCCCCATCCCAGATTTTTTCAGGTGTTAGGGAAATTTTCTCCGAATTTCCCAGAAAATTTACCTCGTGGAAAATTGTTCCCAAAGCCGTAATTTTCTGGAAAATTGCAGCTTTGGCAACGATTTTCCGAGAAATTTCAATTCTGACTAACGGATATATGATATTACTGTATAGGTGTACTGGACATTATTTTTTATTCACCTTGTATTGGACGTGTAGTGTGGTGTTTGTGTAAATAAGTACAGTTGTGTCTGTTTGTGTGAGATGCACAGTCTAGACTCTCGGGAAAACTCTCCAGTACAGGGTGGAAAATTCCAGTGTTGGCTGTGACACACAGCGACAGTCACACCTTCCACATCTGTATCATATACTGTAGATTTATATACAGTATTTGAAAAAAAACTATTTAGGATTATTTCAGGAAAATTGGGGTTTCTAACTTAAGTAGAAGTGATTTATAGCCTCCGGTATAAACATTTCTTGCGTTTTTTCATAAAAGAAATGAGCCCCCGTCATTATATCGTGTCAAAATATTTTATATAAGGCTATTTTACTAAAACATCTTGTGGAGAAATTATTCAGGATCACTATGGTACCAAATTCATCTCTTGGAGACTGATATAACAGACGCTGTGAATGAAAGTTTATACACTTGGTCGCTACAATAGAGGTTTTTCATCGTAACTGCGGCTTAAATGTAAAGGTAGAGTGTTTGTCGATGCGAGGTGCATAATTTAGATGTTTAGACTTCAATGCTAGTAAAGTATATACTCTGGGAAAACTTTCCCCAGCATCGGGAAACCTTCCAGGGATGTGTGGGTGTCTTTCCATGTGAGATGCATCATTTAATCTCTTGAAAACTTTCCCAATACCCCAAAAAATTCCAGGGATGAGAAATTCGTCTCGATACTGTACCCGGAAATCTCTGCGCCAATTATTCCAACTAACGGGGATGTCACTTGTACCAAGAAAATTCTGAGAAAATATTTTAAAATTACAATCTCCTCACCTAATGATCATTAAGTGCTTACATGCCAGGTACTGCCAAGTGCCCAGGGAATATTGTCTGAAACTGTACACCTGTAATAATATTCCGTACTAGAATATAAGATGTTCGCTTCGTTTCAACTGAAAATCACACCAAAAACTAATGCTTATATGAGGGGTTTGAAGGGTTAAATATATGCAGGAACAATATAATACTGTACTGTACTGTATGTATGCTTTGTACCTTGCATAAGGTAATGGGTCTTGTTTTTGAAGGTTGTAGGGTAGCAAAATCCTTCATGCATGATTAAATACTTCTTAGGGAAGCTTCATATTTGGGTGTTAGATTTACATAACTGTTTGGTTATAACAGATACAATTTTTGTCCAGAAATATAGATTAGCACAAATACTATGGTTGTTCTCAAACTTGTAGTCTTCATCATTGCAATAGCACTTAATATATATTTGATATTGTTAGTCAGAAAATGCAAAGATGTCGCTTGAATATTATGAGCTCATTCTGTTAAATTGAATGATATCTTATGTTTATCTCTTAACATTTTTCCTTCTGTGTTTCTGTTAAGCAAGTTATTTTCTTTTTTGTTTAATTATTGTCATGCAAATTGCAGAAACAGTATGAATGATATACAGTAAATACCCCATGACTGCACATATGGGACTGAGGCCTTGCCAACCTTCGGTACTAGGCATATATATGCATTACTGTGTAATGAATTAAATCAGAGTTATATAAGGTATTGTACTTAACAAAAGCAAAGGGCAATTTCTTGATGAATTTGTAAGAGGGAAACAAACTGTTCTGTACTGTATTGTGTGCAACACTTCACGGGTACTGTACAGTAAACTGTTCTGAAAAACTGTCTATACTCTTGTAAACCACAATGTTAATGAAATCAGTTTTCCCGTAAGAAATGGATAAAATACGCTAGTTACATTCTCCAGCCTCTTTTCACCCCATAAAATACAGTACCTACATACATAAATTCAATGGAATTTTTGTAGTTAATATACAGTATATGTTAAACATCCCAAAAGATAAATAGAAACCAAATTAATTTTTAATTAATACTGTAAAACCTTAATCCTGACCGTGGTGGTCTGGATACTATATACAGCTTGTCCTGACGATTCGCGGATTTTTAATTCGCAGACCACGATTATTCATGGATGACACCCTGGATGTACCCAAGAATGTCTAAGGATAGTTTTAAATTTGCTGGCATTTTCGTAGCCAGGACAGGGAGCCATTCGTTCTAGAGACAGTAATTTCTTTTACCTGTATTGTATACACCCTGCATATATGTGTGTGTGTAGAAACACACACATATAACGGTTGCCCCTCGTGTAATGAGGATGGTCGGCCCAAGGGCCACCTAGGCATGAATTTGTTTAAGGTGTAGAAGCTGTCGCCAACACAACAACCACACCCAAAGTTAACGAGTTGTATGATCCAGTGTCAAGGAATAGTCCGAGAAGACCGGACAACTCGCCAACTGCACTGGCTAACCATTACCCCGGAACACGATTCGCAAATTGATTAACACCCAGGTTCCCAATTACTGCTGGGTAGACAGAGGCAAATGGCGTAAAGAAACTTGCCCATAGTTTCACCCTGCCCGGGGATCAAACCCGGGTCCGTTCACTTGTGAGGACACAAATAAATAGTAATGGGAAAATCCTCTCACAAATAATAAAAAAAAAACAAATATATTAAAAATTGTGAGAATCTATACACAGATACATATATACAATACAGGTAAAAGAAATAATTGTCCTAAGGGCAAACACATAAAATGAATATACGTACACTTCTTTGCACACGAGTAAAAATATTCCCCCCCCCCGGTCACTAAATTTTATTAGCGGATTTAGCTATTCGCAGCCGTTTTGAGAACCTAACCCCGCGAATTATAAGGGCATGTACTAGTAATTTCTCCGTTAGCCGGAATCCCTCAAACCCGGAACTCTCCAATAGCCAGAATTGAAATTTTCTCTGAAAATTTTTCCCAAATTTGGAATTTTCCAGAACGATTTTCCAAGGGGCACATTTTCTGGAAAATTCCAAGGGTGTGGGGGGAGTGTTTTTCCGGGTTTGAGAGATGAAAATCTGGCGCATTTTCTGGAAATTCCGAGAAAATTTATCTACTGTAGTAGCCAGAAAATTCCGGGGATGGAGAAGATTTTTCCAGGTTCGACAGATGACGTAATGGGCAATTTCTGAAACTTCCAAGAAAACTCTGGGGATGAGGGATTTTTTCCCAGCTTTGAGAGGGTCGT